CCCTAGCAAAGACACGTCAGTCCACTAGGCACCACAAGATGGTAGGCAGCGCATCGCGGTCCTGGTGCATTAGCATCTCGGCCGCAACCATGACGCACGTGACACCCTCGATGCCCGCAGACGTACCCACGATGACCCAAGAGAGGGAGCTAGCCGCGGCTATCACCCTCGTCATGGCAGACGCTACGACAGTAGCGAGGATCAAAGCCCGAGCCCTGGCCTACTGGGGCCTCAGGCCTTCGGTCGATACATCCTCAACGTTGCCTTCCCGCCAAGGTACCGACCACCAACCAACATCCTGAAATACTCTGGGGAAACGAACCTCGGACTGTGGCTCGAGGATTATCGGCTTGCCTACCAAGCCAGTGGAGCGGATAATGACAATTTTATTATCCGCAACCTTCCATTGTTCCTGGCCGATTCGGCACGAACATGGTTGGAACACCTCCCGCCCAACAGAATCCAAAGTTGAACGGACCTGAAGGAGATCTTCGTGTGGAATTTCTAGGGCACGTACAAACACCCTGGGAATCCATGGGATCTCAAGAACTGCCGATAGAAGACCGGAGAAACCCTTCGTGGGTACATACGACGCTTCTCCCAGCAGTGCAATGAGCTGTCTAACGTCGACGACACCGACGTTATAGGAGCTTTCCTGTCTGGGACTACCTGTGAGTCCCTGGTTCACAAGCTGGGACGCAAGGGCCCGCGAACCACCAAGGAGCTCCTCGACATCGCCACCAGCCACGCCTCGGGCGAAGAGGCGGTCGGAGCGATCTTCAACCGCCTCAAGGACAAGGCGAAACGGGACGAGGATGCCGACGAAGGCGCCTCCAACCGTCCCGCCAAGAAGAAGAACAAGCAGCGGCGCGAGGGCTCGCTCGTGGCCGTCGCCGACCAAAAGGGTGGCCAGAAGCCCGCAGAGGGCACTCCGAACCACTTCGAGAAGCTACTCAAGGGGCCATGCCCAAACCATGCCTTTCCTGTCAAGCATCTGTACAAGGACTGCGACCTCATAAAGCGGTTCTTGTCTAGAGGCTCCAACAAAGGGGAGCGCGGGAAGGACCCCGATCCGACCACGGACGACGCCGAGGGAAAGGACGACGGCTTTCCGACGTCGGATGGCTGCCTCATGATCTTCGGAGGGTCGGCAGCCTTCGACTCCAAGCGTCGTCAGAAGCTCGCGCGCCGCGAGGTCTATACGACCGAGCCGGCCACGCCTGCCTTCCTCCAATGGTCGGAGTCCGCCATAACCTTCGATCGGACCGACCATCCGGAGAGCATCCCGCAGCCTGGGAGATACCCGCTCGTGGTCAACCCGATCATCGGCACGTAGTGGCTCACTAAGGTACTGATGGATGGAGGTAGCGGCCTCAACATCATGTACGCCGAGACGATCGACGCCATGGGCATCGACCGAGCGTGCATCCGGCCGACCGGAGCGCCTTTCCACGGCGTCGTGTCTGGAAAGCAGGCCATGCCACTTGGGCAGATCGATCTACCCGTCACCTTTGGGGGTCCGTCCAATTATAGGACGGAGACCCTCACCTTCGAAGTGGTTGGGTTCCACGGAACCTATCATGCCATCCTGGGACGACCATGCTACGCGAAGCTCATGGCCATCCCCAACTACACCTACCTCATGCATGTATGCATGTAGAGCATTGGAATTATCTAGGGGGCGTGTGGAACTGCTCCACAAACTCTTCATAAACTTCACCACGGAGCAGCTCCATAAAAACCTAGAGTTTGTGGAGCACCTCTTTAGGTGCTCTCACAACTCTACCCTTTTTGTCCGAACAGAGTGCGTGGAGCTGAAACCGTTTGGCTAAAAAACGTGAAGTGGTGGAGCAGTCCCAAACACCCTCTTAGAACCTATTTGGTTGCCTGGTTCATGCCTAATCAGACTCCTCAGATACATCTTTAAAGTGTTTGGTTGCCATTAGAATCTGGCTCTTCATATGCTAAAGATAGCCCAGAGAGCCTGACTCCCTAGATATGGATTTCATTTGTGTTTCTCACGAGCATGGCTCGCATGTTGCAGTGCAAAGTTTCTTAATGATGCTATTAAGGGCCCGTTTAGTAGGGATCCAGATTCTCCCATAAACGTTTCGGATCTAGATTCTCTCCAAAAATATTTCTCTATTGAAATAGGAATCACTTAGTAAGAATCGGTGAAACGTTTGGCTATTGATCCAGATTCTCCTTGAAATGAACTAGAATCACTGCGAAACACCTATTTAGGTGATTCTCATTCCTAGTAAAAAACGAGAAATGTTTCTCCGAGAATCTGAAACGTTTCTGTCACATATTTAGGTGTTTGGCAGCGATTCTAATGATTCTACTGAAAATCCGAAACATTTCTGTCATCCAAACGGGCCTAACATATGATTAATACGTATTAAGTGACATTAGTATATTTTAAAGTAGACTAAGATATCCAAAGTAAAATATGGACTGCTAGAGTGTAGTTATACAAGTTAAATATTTTAAGGTCTTGTTTTTTCATTCTTATTTCATACGGTACGAATATTATCTCTTCTTAACCAAACTCTATACATGCAAACAACCAAACAACAACTCTTGCATGTGCACAGCCTTGCGAAAGCCTGGTTCCCAGATGCAAGGCTCCCCTCACCATCGAACCAAACACGCTATTAAATGAGCAGAGAATACGTGCGAGAATATGTATGCACGAGCCTAATTTTAATACAATTAGCTGTATGCATGTTCATTATATTAATAGGATGTGCATTAGGTACGTGCATGAATGAGTGATCGTGACAGGTATGGACATCAGGGCCTCTTTTCTTGCCTAAAAACAAGGGCTGTATGCACGTTATATATATATATATATATATATATATATATATATATATATATATATATATATATATATATATATATATTATATTAATAGGATGTGCATTAGGTACGTGCATGAATGAGTGATCGTGACCGGTATGGACATCAGGGCCTCTTTTCTTGCCTAAAAACAAGGGCTGTATGCACGTTATATATATATATATATATATATATATATATATATATATATATATATATATATATATATTACTATCCTACTAAGGACACTTTCAGCGTAGAAATTAGATGTTTTTTTATAACCATTAATTAATATACCAACTAAACAAAATATTGACGTAGCATTGTAGTTAATAAAGAGAGAGAGAAATAGTTTTTATATAGGAAACTATGTCTACACAGGAACGATGATACAAAGAAATCTGAATGGTAGATGATATGAGAGAGAAAACATTTGATAGGACAAAAATTAATTTTAAAAAAACTATCTATTGGAAATGTGGTTTCTATTTGTAATGTCTAGTTGCCTTGGTAAGCATGGCTAGGTCGAGATTTCCCTAATTAGGGTTACAAGGCATATATTAATTAGGGGTTGCAACATACATACGGATTAAGGTTATAAAGTTTGCAATTCAATACCATAACAACACGCTGATCAAAGGTCGCGACAGACATGTGCGAGGAAGAGAGACAGTTGAGGCACACCGGCCCCATGTAGGTCTATCGGGAAACGGGTAGAGGGTCGACGGTCTTCCGACTGCCTAATGGCCCTTGCGACAAGACCTTGCGCCAACCATCAGCGTCCCCGAGCGGAGATGCGCATGCGAGCGCCAGAGGTAGGTTGTGGTCCGAGCTGCAAATGGGCTAGCACGCACCGCGTGTCATCGTGTGCAACCCGGTTAGTCCCGCCGTTATTGTCCCTACCGCGGACGGGAAGCTCGTGAATGAGCCGCAGGCGCAGCCGACGATGCTTTGGGCACTTGCATCGCCACCTGACACCCTTCTCAACAACGACATCGCGGCGCATGCCTCCAACGAGATGGGGCACGACGGAGTTCTCTCAGGCAGCTGCGACGTCCTTAGCGGCGGTGGCGGCTCCTGACGAACCACATCCAGGTAGGGGGTGGGGAAGTGGTCGGCGACAACTCCACATCTGAGGCGTCGAGGATATCATCGTCCGCTCACCAACGAGCCCTTGAACTCCCCACCAGGCTCCCTCCTAGGTGGGAGGAGGAGGCAAGGGAAGAGAGCGAGAACGATGGGCTTAGGGCGGGCTCCTTGTGGTAGCCAGCGTTAGAGGGAGATACATTGATGAGGTGGACAACTTGTATGTTAAGATTGGCTTGCGAGAGGGCCACCTTCTCTTCTACTAGTCCTAGGAGGACGACGGAGAGGCGCCGACGTTGGCTGGGCCATTGACCCATCTCCTCATGTGCGAGAGGGCGATAAGAGGAAGTAGTACTAGATCATAAGCGGCAAGATTGCAACTTGTAGTAAACTATTCTCTTTCTACTGTCGTTGTTACTTGATGGTTCATCTTTTGCTTTGGTGTATTTGCCACGCCGGCCGTCTCCACGGCTTCGATTTGCAGAGAAGTGACGCTCACCACGTGTTTGACGAATTGCCTCAAAGATGGTGAAGTTACCTACACAAATAAGATGTGGCTCTATCCAAGCTAAACCAGCCAACCAAACAAACTAAATGCTAGCCAGACTTAGATTATGTAGACAACCAAACAAATCCATCTAGGCTTGTTGGAGACAGTCTTATGCTAGCCCTAGCCAGCCTAGGAGAAAGCCCTAGATTTAATAGAGTTCCACGTATCAGACCAGAACGGGGGCAAGAAGGACTTTGTGGCTCACGGCCCACTGGCCACTGGGGGTATCCATTCGCATCCCCGTATGCTGTGGATGGATATGGGCTATGGCAGGGGACAACCCATGCTTTGAAGCTGGGCTCTGCCAGACAAGAGGACGAAACCGGCCCACATCAGGTAGCACGCACACAACGGGACGGGACGACGAGAGTGTGAAACGGCCGCGGCGCCGCGCAACCGCCGCCGCCTCCGCGTCCGCCCCACCTCCTCGCTCGGCACGCGCCAAAACCAGCCACCGGCCGCCGGCTCCGGAGCCGCAGCCCTACGCTCCGGCTCCTCCACCTCCTCACCGCGCTTGTTGATGACGGCGCAGCAGGAGGGGAGGGAGGTCCAGGTCCGGGCCCTCGATGGGCGATCCACGGTCGTCAAGCTGCCCCCCGGCGGCTCCGTCCGGGACCTCAAGGCCGCGCTCCGGACCTCATTCCCGCCGGCGCAAGTCGCCCCCAGCTTCCACCTCTTCCTTAAGGTGCGCGCAACAGCCTACCTCTACCTACCTCTAGCTTTCCGGCCTGTGCCAAAACTGTCTCGCTTCGTCATGGCATTGATGCCTCATTGGGTTAAGACTGTTAGAGGTTGCAGCTTCACTATCGACACTAGTTGAATACAGTAGCACCTTACTCATGCTGAAATTTTCCTCGTGTGCTGAAGGGTGCTAAATTGCGTTTAGACGCTGAGATTGGCAGCCTTGCAATCGGCGGCAATGAATTCATTGTTCTCGTACCCTTCACAAGAATGCCACAGCAACGTTCTTCAGTTTGCATGGCAAGTCAAGAGCAGGGCCTCAATCCACCAAAACAACCAGAGGTGTCTTCTGCGGCTAATTCAGCTTGGCAAGACATTATGGATGACCTCTCAGCAATGCCAACCAGCCCACAGCCTGATGCTGCTTCCAAAGAATTTTACTCCTCACGTGACCCGTGCTCTGGGAGATTTACGGAGGATATGACAGCGGGTCAAAGCTCGTCAAGTTGGTCATCAAGGAAAAGGAGGAAAACATGCAAGGAAAATGGAAATGGTTCCCCACAAATGGTGTCCCCTGAAGCGAATGGTACAGCTGAGAAACACAACATAAGTAAGAAAACTGGGGTGGCCAAATCTACTGCTATGTCATGTCATGTATGTATCACCTCTTTTTTTCTTCCTATCTGCCACTGCCAATTTCATCTTAACTTTTATCACCCGGAGAAGAAAACCAAATGGGAGCTTAGTGTTTCTTGCCCAAGAAGAATGCAATAGGCATATGGCATACTGCATACATATTGGCTTGCCATACATATTTTTTACTTAGAAGCTGGATAGATTTTTGAATGTGGTTGCAATGCAGGATATGCACCCTTTGGAACCTACTGAAATGGTTGAACATCTGAAACAAGGACTTGGAAAGCAGGAGCAGGTTTTCACTTATATAACTTTCTGGAATTGATACTGCAAACAAAGCAATAGTCTTTTAGTCGTTGCAATTTGTATGTGCAGATCGTACATATCCAAGAGATATCATCTAGAGAGACATCATTTACAGAACTTCCATGTAATCTTTCAGAAGCTATGAGAGAAGCGCTGAAGAGTATTGGAATATCTAGACTGTATAGCCACCAGGTATGCCGGAGTGTGTCATATTTAGTGCATATTTAATTAGGTTGTTGTCTTATGTTTTTTTTTATTTGAGTGCAGTCTCAAGCCATAAAGTCCTCTATTTCTGGAAGGCACATTGTCGTTGCAACTTCTACGTCAAGTGGAAAGTCTCTATGTTACAATATTCCTGTTCTTGAATCTCTTTCCCAAGACTCGATGGCATGTGCTCTGTACATATTTCCGACAAAGGTCTGGGAAATAACCTATCACATTTTAGTAATGGTCAATTGGCCATCAATAATATCGATAGAAATTCATTCTCCTTTTGTTTTCCAGGCTTTAGCTCAAGATCAGTTGAGGACTTCACTAGAGATGAAGAATGCATCTCATATTGATATTGATGTTAAAATATATGATGGTGATACTCCTAGAGAAGATCGTTTGTGGATTAGGGATAATGCTCGACTGGTAAATATGTCTAGGGCTATAGAATTGTGTTTTTAATTTGATTTCTTTATTTTAATGCGTCTGATCACATACCGTTTTACTCTCAGTTAATTACCAACCCAGATATGTTGCATGTGTCAATCTTGCCGTACCATGGTCAATTCCAGAGGATTTTATCAAATCTCAGGTAAAAGTAATTGGTTCCTTAGTTTTCTCAATGATCTTATTCATTGGTCTTTTTTTTTTTTGTCAATGATGTGTTTTTTCATCTGGGATATGCTTTAAGTTTCCGAATGAATAGGTGTGCATTTTGCTAGTATGTACGCAATTTCTTGTGTTTTCCACAATGACATATCATTTCTGTTGCATTTTACTCAGGTATATTGTGATCGATGAAGCACATTCATACAAGGGGGCATTTGGCTGCCATACTGCACTTATAATTCGGAGATTGAAGCATATTTGTTCAAATGGTATGTATAACTTTTTATTTGATAGTTGACTTATTCATCTATCTTGTGTACTAGGACTAGGTTTTGTAGTTACATGAATTTATTACTTGACTCCCAGAATCCTAATCAGAGCCCAAAAAATTACAGTAAGTTCCTTGCAAGCTGTAACTTCTGATGTGTGACTTTGCAGACCTATAAAAATTTAGGAGCTACTTATGCAGTTACACATATAATATAATCTATTAAAGCCCTTGGTTTTCTGTATTTGCAGTTTATGGTAGTCATCCTACATTCATATTTTGTACAGCAACCTCAGCAAATCCATGTGAGCATGTCATGGTAGGTTATTCCCTCTCTTTAGCATAGTTTTGAGAAGACATGGTTGTACCTAGCAAAAAGAAACCTGCTGTTCTTAATATTTTTTCAAAGGGAAAATGCAGGGTGGTCCCTAAACTTGTCCCAGGGTGGTACCCAGGTCTCCAAACTCTCAAAATGCATTTCAGGTCCTTGAACTTATCTTGGGGTGTCATTGAAGTCCAAAGCTCTCAAAATGTTACTTTCACGTCCTTGAATTTTTCATCTCGTGTCATCCAGGTCCAAAGGGGCTCCAATCCACTCTGCGCCTTGATGTGGCAGGCTGCTGTGCATCCCTGGTGGCTTAGGTCTTGATCAGTGAGTCATGTATGGTAGGGGCGACATGCCAACCTTTGGTGCTCCATCTCCGTGCTCTGCCTTCCTCATCCTTTCTCTCTATTTATACCACCAAGCAGACCTCGCAGCTATCGCAATCCCCAGCATGCCTTCATTCTTCACCCCCCTCCTCAAAGCCAATGACATCCCTGGTAGTGAAGGCCATAAGAGCGAAGCTGGTGTTCCACGAAGCTAGAGGTTGACTTGTGGGCCCCACCATCATGTGGCAGTCACTGGTCAAGAACTGAGCCAAGGGGATCTACTGTGGCATGCGACATCAAGGTGTGGAGCAGTTCAGGTCCTGTTTGGACCAGGACCTATATGACACTGAGGATGGACAAGTGTGGGGATCTTGAGAGTTTAGGACTTGAATGACATCATATGACAAGTTTTTTTTTGAACATAATGGCAGGAGCTCTGCCCTTTAATTAAGATAGGGGAACATCATATGACAAGTGTTGGGAGCTGAAAATACATTCTGAGAGTTCGGGACCTGAGTGACAGCCAAGGACAAGTTCAGGGACTGCTTGTGTATTTTACTCATTTTGCTAACTGCTCGTGTATTTACTCCTTTTGTTAAAATATAGTGGCCTCATGTTATAATTTTTCTTAAAAATTATGTTCATCCGATCTTTCAAGAATATTGCATTTGCGTGGAACTGGATGTATTTTATCTTCACAATGAAATATGTTTGTCCTAGGAATTGGCCAATTTGGATGAAGTCGAGTTGATTCAGAATGATGGAAGTCGTTGTGGTTCCAAGTACATTCTCTTGTGGAATCCCCCACTACATATGACAGAAGGAAGGTCAAAAGCTAGTTCAGTACCTAGGCGCTCAAGGTATAGTGATATATGCTCCTTTTTGTTAGAGTATATTTGGTAATTTTGGATTGTAATTTGATATTGTCACATGTATCCGGGTGGCAACTTGCCCCCAATGTATCTCCACGTTATACCCAAGCTACTATGTTTTCATGGCATCATGAGTTCGGGTTTTGTTCCTGAACCCTAAGGCTTCTGCTGCCGCGGTCCCTAGGAGATCGATCTCCACTGTGGGCAGCGCCCTCGTAGTTAGATTGGGCTGATCCAGTTGCTCTGCGGTGTGTATCATCGTCAAGTAGCATTGGGCAGCAACATCAGACCTCCAAATGTGCGTCGTTAGGCTGATCTACCACGGGCATTGCTGGACCACGTGACTGTCTCATGCCATCGCTGCACCGTAGGGTGCAATGCCTTGTAGGGTGCCACTGCAGGCCGGGGCAAGGGGCATGCCATACTCACTGCCGCCGCCGCCGGTTGGGTCGCGCCATTGTTAGCCACGCGGAGGAGTCTACTCTCCCAAGGACGAGGTTGTCGTTACGTGCCCTCCCAGGCAGAATGACATTGCTTCTGGTCAAGCTATCTTCACGGGCACCGCATATCCAATGGCACCATCCAGGCTAGCGCCACCCATGCTGTCGGTCCTCCTCGTCACACTGGCTCTCGATCCAAGTCCGTGCCTACTGTTGCCACCTCTTGGACATCGTCGCCAATGTCATTGACGGATGACGCGTGAGTGCTTATTGATACGCCCAGGCAGCCCCATTTGCCTTCACCATTTGGTCAGCTCATCATCGTGCTGCTGCCATCATCAAGAAGCTGATGATTATGTGTACTTGTGCCTCTGTTGATGCTTTGGACCCATGCCTCCCTCCACAATTTCGACCAGTCCGACCTCATTTACTTCGGTGACAAAAAGGGCTGTTGTCCACATGAGCTACTTGTTGGTTTCTACTCTAGTCGTAGCATCTGTAATGCGACGTCGCTAGAACTGTCAGGGGATGTTAGTCTTCGACGACTTCTCCAGTCTGACCTGCTATGACCGTGTGTGGGATGTTTGAGTATATTTGGTAGTTTAGGATTGTGATCCAATATTGTCATATGTTTCTGGTAGGCCACTTGTCTCTATAGGCCTTTGTACTCTATATATACCGCCCGAGAGACTCAATGCAATCTATTCCCACACATTATACCCAATTTACTACGTTTTTTTTTATGAAATCACCGGCGGCGGGGGGTGAGAGAGTCCTCCACACCTGTATATATTGATGATTTGGCCCTTATGGCCTGATGTCAAGGTTACAATAACAGCACTTAAGTTTACATCAGCACTGAGCTTATAAAGCTCCCATTTGAAAGATACTAGTTACATACCAACTTGGCTAGCACCGTTGTTTTGCTCCAAGGCTGCTGTGAAGATTGAGCACCATACAGAAGCTACGTTTCTTGATTGGGCAGGCAGTCTGTGACTCCAAAGTTGAGCTTCTGTTTTGCACTGACTGACTAGCTGCCTCATTGAGGTCACTTGCCTTTGGAATATGAAATCATTCCTTCTCTTCCAGAGTAGCCAGCAGCAAAGGATGATAAAAACATCAAAATGAGTTGCAGGGATATGACTGGGCCTAGCCAGCTTATATATGTCTGCCGCTGTGGTGATATCGCTTGTCTGAACCTTGATCAAGTCCCAGAAAATTTTGGCAAAAGGGCACTCGAACATAATATGTGCTGCTGTTTCAGCCCCATGTGAACAGATTTCGCATGTACTGTCATCAATTATCTTTTTCTTGAACAGGTTTTCTTTGCACTGAATGCGATTGTTGAGGAGGAGCCAGGCGAAGAATTGCACCCTTGGTGGTGCGTGACTTCCCCAAATGAACTTCGCTCGATCGTCGTGTTGCTGCCCTGATTTTAGCAATTTGTAGAGCAGTGATGCAGAGAAGTTGCCAGTCGCGGTTATAAGTGGGCTTTGTCTAGTATCTTGTTCATCAGTTATCTGAAATTGTTGCAGCAAAACTTGGGCAGTCTGAAGTTCTTCAGTGGCTTGTGGTGATAGACGTGGCACAAGGTGTGGAGTGATTCCTGAAGTAACAACCTGAGCTACAGTCTGAGTCGGCTTCCTACAGTGGCTGAGCAGCACAGGAAACATGTCTGCAAGGCAGTCTTCCAGCCCAAGCGTCAAACCAGAAGGAGGTGTGGCATCCATTCCCAAGTTTCACTGTGGTGACAGCTCGGTAAACCGGCAGCAAGGATCGCAGAGCGTTCCAGTGCGAGCCGTTGAGATTGCCCTCCATAGTGGCAATGCAGGCATGTTCGTGGACCCAGATGGCCCAGGACGAGGTTGAGTTCTGATGTAACCGATGAATCAGTTTCAACATGAGACAGTCATTGTGGATGGCCAGGTCTTTGACGCCGAGTCCTCCAGCGGTGCGTTCCGAGCAGACGCGCTCCCAGGCGATGAGGCACTGAGTGCCCAAAGCTGATGACTGGCCGTTCCACAGGAAGGCCCGTCTTCGACGATCAAGCTGCGAAACCACACCCGGTGGCAGCGGAGTTGCACACATGAGGTACACCAACTGACTGTCAAACACCGAATTGATAAGCACCGTTCTGCCCATGGCATTTAGTAGTGAGGCTTGCCAACCCGCCAGGTACCGATCGGTCTTGCAAATGTATGGAGTGTAAGCTTGTAGGCGCAGCTTCTCATGCGAGAGGGGCAGCCCCAGGTAGGATTGTGGAAATCCATCCCGCTTGCAGTTTAGAATCTGTATGCATTGTTGTATCATTGCTTCGTCCATGTGCAAAGGTACCACTGTGCTTTTGTTGTAATTGATGTACAGCCCAGTTGCCTCTGAGAAGCTGTCAAGGGTTTGTTTGAGCAGTGTGACGTCCTGGATGTGGCCCCGAAGTAGAATTAGTGTCATCAGCGTATTGTAGTGTTGCACATGGGGTTGAATCCACGATTGGGTGTCGGATTTCAGGGTTGGCCTTGATTAGTGTCTGCAGAATGTCTGCGACCAGAAGAAAGAGGTAGGGGGATAGTGGATCTCCTTGGCGGAGTCCCCTTTTGCAGGTGAACCATGGACCTGGGCATCCGTTGACAAGGACAGCTGTTCTCGAAGAAGACAGCAACTCCATGACCCAATTGCACCAAAGTTTAGGGAAACCTCTGGCTTGCATTATCTTGGTGAGGCTGTCCCAATTGACTGTGTCAAAAGCTTTTGCAAAGTCCAATTTAAGTACCAGGGTGGGGACTTTCCTCTTGTGACAGCATTGAACCAGTTCTGTTGCATAGACAAAGGTGTCTGTGATGGATCTCCCTTTTATGAAGCCTGACTGATCGTTCCATATTAGTGTTGAAATTTCTCGCTGCAGCCTTGTGGTCATTATTTTGGAGACGATTTTAACACTGCAGTTCTGAAGACATATAGGCCTGAAGGAGTCCAGAGTCACTGCACCCGGCTTCTTTGGTAGCAGCACCATGAAAGCTCTATTAACCCTTTGCAGATCGATATTGCAGTCATAGAACCCCTGTAGGAACTTCATCACTGCTGCTCGCGTTGTAGACCAAGCTGCATTGTAGAAACTCGGCCCAAAACCATCCTTTTATTGCTGTCCAAGCTTCAACTGCAGTGAAAGGAGCAGTGAGGGCTGTGGTTGTTGTGGGCAGACCTGTGTAAAGTGACTGAAGATTGAAATTCCAGTTTGCGCTGACTGTTTGATTCATCAGACTTGTAAAGTAGGCTGTCAGTGCTTCCACCTTCCCTTGATGGTGAGTGATCTGCGTACCACTGACCTGTATTTCCCTAATGAGGTTCCTTCTCATACGCAAAGTGGCGTGAGTGTGGAAGAAACCGGTGTTTGCATTCTCTTTAATTGCTCTTCTTTTGCCTCGCTGTTTCCAATATGCTGCTTTCTCTTTCAGTGCCAATGCTAGCCTTTCTTGGCAGATCTGTCTGACCTGGGATTCAGCAGTAGACAAAAAACGGTCTTCCTCGAGATAATCGAACAAGAGAATTAGAAATTTGCAGTTGTGGATGAGCCAGACTGGCGCTCTGTTGCATTTAGCCCATACCTTTGCCGCGGTTCGAGCTGACTTGAGGCAAGCAACGAGCTGGCCAGCAGCGTCAGCGCAGCGAGGGGCCTCATGCCAGGCCGGGAGAACTGCAGGAAGGAAGTTGGTGTTTTGGAGCCAGTAATTTTCGAAGCGGAAGATGCAAGAGCGGGGTATTTGAGTGGAGAGGGAGGCAATGATGGGAGTATGGTCTGATGTAGGGTGGGGGAGGGGGTTGAGGGAGGTGTCGGGGAATTTAGCACATTGATCCATGTTACCGACACCCGATCAAGTCGGGCGAGGGTTGGGCGGTCTCGTTTGTTCGACCAAGTAAAACGATGTCCGAGAAGAGGGAGCTCATGGAGTTCGAGATGGTCGATGGCTTCATTGAAAAGATCACAAAGCCTTTGGGACACACCGACTGTGTTTTTCTCCTCCGAACAGTGGACCAAATTGAAGTCCCCGGTAATGATCCACAGGCCAGTGAAAACATGTTTGAGGTTTTTAAGGCATTGGAGAAAATGTTCAGAATGTCTATGATCAGAGGGAGCATACACATTTGTGACTGTAATTGAGAAATCTGAAACCGTAGAGGAGAAGGATGTAGAGAGCGAGTATTGACAGCTAGTGACTGAGTCCAGCGTTAGCTGTCTCTCATCCCACGCTGTGAGGATGCCGCCACGCGAACCCTCCGCGTTGATCAGCTGAAAGTTGTTTGCTAGTCTTGAAGGGAGGAAGGAGTGTGTTTTTGTGTGGGGCATGTCATGGAGTTTGGTTTCTTGGAGGCAGACAATGGTTGGGGAGGCATCATAGATCGCATCGCGCACAATCGTGCACTTGTCCGGGTCACCTAAGCCACGCACATTCCATGACATAACGAAGATCTTTTTAAAAGACTCATTCATTCTGGTGGGTTTTGCACCACCCCAACTGCACTGGCAGTGTTGCAGCCCAGACCTGCTGCATAGAC